TTCCCGGTAAGTTTTATTTTTCCCTGATTTTAATCCGTGAGCTGTGATGTATGTGCATTGGCCCATACAGGAACTCACCCAATCCATCCCAGCACGAGAGTTGACTGCTGGGTTTAATCATTCATGCGATATCTGCTTTTTATGCAGTGATACTGGAAGCAAATAAATTATACGGATGTAGCTTATGCTACGTAGCCCCCATGGTGACGAGGTCGACTTGCAGATTATATACCAATATTCTCCGCCCTTTGTGACGTCACAGGAATACATACGAAGTGTTAGTTCGTCCAGCACTGGGAATAGAGATGAGGAGGGTCTAGGCGCTGTGAATATGAGCCGAATACTAGTAATTGCTAATAATCTTTTGATGTCGCCGTATCATCATGACATCATGGACTTGAGGCAGAAAGGCAGAAAGGCACGTTAATATGTTATTCTAATATACAACTGAGATCACCCATCATGATTTAGAACAGTATTGTTTTCATGCTTCGAAATACTACCTGCATTTTTATGAGTGTCTAAACCCTGGGATGCAAATAACTAACTGTGCGAGATGGCGATGCTACTACAGGTAACTTCGAATCCAGCAATATTTGTTCGGAGCATAGAGCATCCATATCCGAGGTCTGTCACTAACGTCCTGTAGATTTCGACATTTCTCCAGCAATGGCTCTATTCACGTCAGAGCGTAAGAGCGGGTGATAAAAGCCCCGGCGCTGTCCGCTTCGGTGTTCTTTCAACCGCTATGATCAATCCTGCTAGTATAATTCATCCAATTGAGACACATCCAGGAGCCGTCATAACGGCTATCGCGTCCCGAAACCTCAAAACTGCGCAAGTAGCAGCCAAGAGGTATTCTATCGAACGGGCCTATGGCTCTTATGAGGAACTCCTACAGGATCCGGAGATTGATGCTATATACATCAGTTTGCCAAACGGCATGCATGCTGGTGAGCGCGTTCCGCTGCAATATTTATGTCCTTCTATTCAATTCATCACCTCTTCTGTTGCGCCGACGTGCCAATGAATGCTTACACTGTCATTAACGAAGAATGGGCTAAAAAGGCAATGGACGCTGGGAAGCATGTATTAATCGAGAAGCCCGCTGCGTCAAATGCAGAAGAAGCAACGGTTATCTTTGATGCGGCAAAGAAAACTAATCGTGTGGCTTTGGAGGCTTTTCACTGGCAGTTCCATCCGGCTGCACATGTGGTGCGCTCATTGATTGAGTCTGGGAGATATGGACGAGTGATCTCTACCGCTTCACGGATGACCACACCAGCTAATTCAATCCCCAGAGGAGATATTCGCTGGCAATATGACCTTGCTGGTGGGAGCTTGATGGATATGACGTACGTTGTATCGTCCACACGGTATTTCCTCGATGCTGGAACACCACAGCGGATTGATTACGCGAAAGCGCGGCCACTACCATCTGATAAACGAGTTGATGAAGCTATGGATGCAAGGATGTATTTCAAGTCGGAAGTCGCGGCAAATTCTGGTCTTGTGAAGAGTGATATTAAAACCGACATGAATCAGCCATACATTGGTCACATTGTTCCAAGAGTCTGGGAAGCACCTTCAATCTTGATCGAACTGGAGCATGCTAATATTTATTTTTACAAGTATGTTACCTTTTGTCTTGGTGCCCTCGCTTCTCCTCACTCTCTTTTCACAAGAAAAATGATAGGTTTAAAGAACACCTTGCTGATATTTATACACTCTCCGCAGCTTCATGATGCCGCATGTGTTCCACTACATCGAGGTCACAGATAAGCGGACTGGTCAGAAACACACTCAGAAGCACTACAATTTTGGACCCGAATGGGGAGCGTGTTCAGAACCGTGGTGGAGTACCTACCGGTAGGTCTTCATTTTCAACCGTCTTATGAAAGGCATGTGGTCTAAGCTAACAATCATTTCGCTCTTGCAGATACCAACTGGAAGCTTTTGTAGACAAGGTTACAGGCAAGAAACCTGTCCATTGGATCTCTCATGAAGATAGCGTCGCACAGATGCGAACATTGGATGCAATATATGAAAAATCTGGTCTCGGTAAGAGACCCAGCAACTTCACGGAATCAAAAAGTTAAGGGTTAACAAGGCGCTGACTGATGAGCCTTCGACGATGGTAAAGCTGCGCTATTCTTGATATGTATATGGCATGATTATTTGCGTTTCTTTGCACCTCGGCGAGAGCTAGCCGCCTAATAGCGGGTGAGAAATTCTTCATGTTTACACGGCAAATTTGACATCAGAGCCCTGTCTATCGTTTCTCTTGTTCAAGTAAATAACGGAATTGGATGCAATATCAAGGCCCTGTTGTTTGAGCAGTGTTGATTCAAATGGAACTTCCCGCTTGGGGTAAAATATGGAGTAAATCTTAATTGATTGTCAAACAATTCGTCAGCCAAAAGTGTTATTAATGTCGAGAGATAGTTAATTATCTGAAGAATAGCCCAGTATCAGATACAATCAACCTGTCACCACTCCTTCAATGGTCACGCAATTGCTGTGTTTGAAAACTCCTCTCGTCTCAGCCTAGTTTCAGCAATATCCCTGGGGTTCGGAATCTATTACAAACTAAGTAATTTTTGTCGTCATCATCCGACATATGCTTCTCGAAAGAGCGAATTTCATGACAGTTTTGGGTTTGAGGTCCAAATTCTCCAGGATTCCCCTTCATGGGACTACGCAACGTGGATGCAGAATTTCCAAATTCAAGCAAAAGAGCACCCATCTCTGGCATAGCTGCCACATAGCTTGTCTCATTATATGAAGTGAAACTGCTTTCCCCTGTAGCTTATCTGGTAGGAATTTTATACATCTCGAAAGCCAAGTCCCTTATAATAGGTGAAGAAGTTTACCTTATGCCTATTTTGGCTTATCACTTTTTCGTCTGCCTTTTCACATAGGTTATATTTTGCCCTCTTCCTTTCTTTACCCGATTCTTTTCCTTTTTTTATAGATCTGGCCTCTTGTCAAATCCTCAAATTTACTCATAGACCAGTTTCCATTGAAGAAGCAAGCTTTTTTTTTTTTTTTGTCGCCGGCCGACCTTTGTCCCTCCCTAAGACAAACATCTTCTCCTTATTCAAATTCTTACCTGAACAGTTAAAGCGATCTTGCCCGAAATGAAACTCGTCATCATTCTCTTCTCTTGTCTGGCTGTCGCTATCGCGGCTCCATCGACAGTCGATTGTATGTTAGAACCAAACCAATGCGACCCAGGACCAAGAGGATGATTACTAATTCTCGATTTTAGCTCGTAGCGATACTGAACCAGCAATGGTGAATGCTGCGGGAGAAGTTGTGCCTTTTGATCCCTGCTGGAGATGTTGTGAAGATCTAGAAAAGTTTGAAGAATGTTTACAGATTGAGATATGACCAGAGCAGTGGTGTTGGATTGGGTA